TCTAGAGAAATTGAATGCCTGTAAAGAATGCAATCAAGGTACAGGCCATAGAAGAGGATGAGAGATTGGATATGGAGTTCAAAAAATGTTTAAAGGGCATTGCAGAAATTGATAAAATTGAGGGGTGTGGTGCTGTTGGGGAGGAGGACAGAATTAACAAAGAGGAAATGAGGAGGAAGGTTGTTCACAAACTGAATCTGGAGGCAATTTCATGCCGCCAAAATTCTAGAGAAAATGGTTAAAGGAAGGGGGCCCAAAATACAAGTTATTTTCATGGATTAGCAAATTATAGAAGAAAGAGGAATTGCATTGAAGAATTTGTGTATAATGATAGAATTATAAAAGGGAATTTGGAGATGAGAGAGCATGCAAAAGACCAATTCGAACAGCTGTATAAAGAAGATGTAAGATGGAGACCAAGGCTGGATAACCTTCAATTCAGAACTCTGGATGAGAAACACAGCAGGTATGTTGGCAAATGTTCACGTTGGAGGAAATCCATGAGGCACTCTGTTTGTGTAATGGAGATAAGACTCCGGGACCAGATGGGTTCAATATGAGGTTTCTTCAGGAATTTTGGGAAGTTATTAAAGGAGACATTGTTGCTGTATTTAAAGTCTGTAACTCCAGTACTTAGAAAAGTCAGTTTAACAATGCATATTTTCCTGAATGTTGGACTAAATAACTTCATGCTAGGATGTGATTCTCATGTTGATGCAAGGCAATTTTCTGGGAGAAAAAATATTTTGAAACATTTTCAAGGGGGTGTGTTTCATGTTCAAGTGAACAGAGATTTTGTTCTACGAGGCTATTTTTCTTAGTGTTTTGAAACCTTTCATCAGTATATAGTTTTTGGTATGTGTAGTAAAAGGACTATTTTACATAATGTAGTGTGCATTATATTTAACAATAATTATGAATTTGACTTCTTTAAGCTAATTTTCTAACATTTAGTTTTCTTGTTCTTCCAGGCTCGTGCATTCTATGGATTTCAAATTGCGATGGAGAATATCCATTCTGGTAGAGCTTTGTAAGTAGAGCTGATCATAGACTTGGGCCGTCACCTCTGGCTGATTGCAAGCCTGCCATATCGGTGGGCTTGGGAGGACAAAAATTTTAGACCTGATATAGCTTATTCATAGGGTTGCACTTCCCAAAAAATGGGCTTTTATTGGCTGCTCAATCCTAGGGCTCCGAATTTCTATTAAGGGGTAGTCTGGGTCTTTAAAAGAGGTCTTATTGGCCGGGCCTAGCTGGGTTTGGGTCAAATTTGTTCAAACCTTAAAACATGAATTTTTTCTGGCCAGAAATTGCGCTAGACTGGCCCCTGATCAGTTCTACCTGTGAGTCATATTCTGCTTTTCCTTTTGCATGTTGCAAACCTACCTGATTGGGAATATTTTCTGCTGCAAATTATCAGAGATGTATAGCTTGCTCTTGGAGACATATATCAAGGATTCAAAAGAGAAGCATAAATTGTTTCAAGCTATTGAAAACATTCCTTGTGTGGCTAAGAAGGCAAAGTGGGCTTTGGACTGGATTAAGAGGTGCCTATTGCATTCTTATTCTACATTTTCTATACTTATTTTATCAAGCCATCTAAATAAGGACGCTATAGCTGTTAATGCTTAGTGCTTATTGTTAAATGGATTTAATGCAAGTTACTTAATCTAGTATTTTTCTAGAATTCTGTTGGTCTTTCAACTTGAATATTTCACTCACTTCAGGAACTTTGGTGCTGTTTGGGATGGGTCTTAATGCCGATACATTCTTGAACCTTAATAAATAAGCATTAGTCTGATAGATTCTTGTGTATTTACATGGCTAAGCATGACTAGTGATCATGTTGAGTGCCAAACCTAGCGCCACCAGTGCTTAGCTTGGTGTAGTCCATGAGTCAGTGGGCCTGACATGGAGATCACTCGAATTATCTAATGTACCTTTCAAGAAAGAGAAAATTAAGTTTGTTTGTTTTTTTTTCTCCTTTGAAGGACCTCTTGTTCTGTACTGATGTACTTCTCTCTTTTCTTTTCCTGATAAGATTTCTTTTTTTAGTAAAAAAGAACCACATCTGTTATCCTTAAATATGGATGTTTTTGAATCTGGGCTTCATTTGTAATTAGAGCACATTCACTATGTTTTAGTGGAGGCATGAAATTCTTTCTTTAAAAAATCTTCATTATGCTTTTTTGCAGTTCGACTTCATTTGCAGAAAGACTTGTTGCTTTTGCATGTGTTGAAGGGATCTTTTTCTCAGGAAGGTAGTCCCCTTAGAGAACTGAAAGCTTGTTTCAGCAGCTTTGTGGTACAAGGTTTCTTGATTTTGGTGATGAGGTTTCTGTTTCATATTCTGGCTATTTCCTTTTCCAGTTTTTGTGCCATTTTCTGGCTTAAGAAGAGGGGATTAATGCCTGGTTTGACTTTCTCAAATGAGCTTATATCTAGAGATGAGGGTCTTCACTGTGACTTTGCTTGCCTTCTATACAGGTAAATATTTCTGTTTGGAAAGAATATTTTTTTCTTGCTGAGTCTTTGCAAATGTAATTTGCAGACTTGATGTTTATCAGTATTAGGAATCATGCCTGTCTTGATAATGCTTCGCGTTGACATTCAGCAAAATTTTTTAATCTACTTTGGTTTTCTCAAAATAAAATCTGTGGTTGCGTACAGCTTATTACAGAAGAAACTTCCTCGGGAAAAAGTTCATCACATTATTTGCGAGGCAGTGGAAATAGAGATCGAGTTTGTTTGCGAGGCCCTTCCATGTGCATTAATTGGCATGAACTCAACACTCATGAGCCAGTACATAAAATTTGTGGCTGATCATTTATTGGTAAAATCTCTAGTTTGATTTATTTTAGAATTAGCTGAGGTACTCCAAGCTGAGGATTCTTTTTCCCTTTCCTTTTCTCAGACTTCCTTAGGGTACCAGCGAAAATACGATGTGGAAAATCCCTTTGATTGGATGGAATTTATATCGTTACAGTAAGTATCTATATCAATGAGCCGGCTTTACAATTTTTTTTATTGGTTTTATTGGAGCAGACTGAATCAACTGAAAATTGTCAAGCTAATAAATAACATGTATTTGGTCTATTAGTTGAAGTCATTGGTTGTAGCCGTTATCTGGGAGTAGGTAGTCCTCATTCAAGCAAACCACTATGAGGTGTTTTTGTAAAAAAGTTAGCTAGAAAGAATGCTACAGTAATACGATGTTGACAGTAAGCTCGCACTGAGGTTAAAATATTGACTGTGATGAACACTCTTCGATTTTCACCACCTGCTGTAATCCATAGAGAATGTTGTATTCCGTTAAACTAATTAGATAATCAAGCAGATAAAAAAAAAAGTCAAGATTCAATAATGTTTTGGTATTGACTTCGGCGGCAGTGCATCTTTGACCGCGGAACTTAAGCAGGCATTTATGTGTTGTGAGGGGTGTGGTAACAGACGTATAAGGTGTATTTAGTAATTGAAATATTGATGATGACATTGTTTGACTTTTCAGAGGGAAAGCAAACTTTTTTGAGAGAAGAGTTGGTGATTATCAGAAGGCATCTGTTATGTCAAGCCTTCAAAATGGTGGAAAGAATTACGTCTTCAAGCTCGATGAAGATTTTTAATCCTCTTGACATATTTGTCTGTTCTTAGCCACCACCAAAAGCAATCATCACCATTTTTGTTACTATTTCTGTTTTTTGGTAACAGCTTGTGTGTAATCTTCTATTTCTATTGCAAGAAAAAAAAACCAGAATCCATCATTTGCATCATTAAATGATATAGCTGTTATTAATCTACATACATACATACATACATACATATATATATATATTATTTTTATAGTACTTGCAGATATCAGTACTTCTCCATTTTCCATGTGGGTGG